CATAAACCTGATCCATACATAATTGTCCTATTGAGAAACATTGACAATGGAGCTTAAAGGAAAACATACAGGCAATTAAGTGCTGCAGTGGAGAAAGAGAATGGCACTTGGGATTTTCTGAATATAAAAGTGGGGGAGTGGGTGGAGATTTTAAGGCTACATTACGAGTTGTTTACACATATATGTTTAAAATGCAATTAATGAGATGATTTACAGCAGTCATTAGATTTTAGAACCTAGTGGTGCAAAACTAAGTAATAAAAGCAATAAAAAACTGTGAAAATATACAAGACTCCTAGTTTGTCCTGTTGGCTGAGCTCAAAGACAGGCCGTCCCTTATTTATCCATATTTTATAAACAGGTTTGATTTACTGCTGTCCACTACAAAGATCATTAAAAGACAGACTGTTTCTACTTCACACATTGTTTCTTGATGTCAAAATATCCTTGTACTTGTGTGTGTTATGTTTCTGCCTTGTTAACATTTTTCCACTGCAATTAACATCGTAAGACACGTGTGTAATGTAGCTGATGCTGCCACATTCAGATACGTGTTACTGATAGTATCATTTCAAACTAAATTTTGATACTCAGGAAGAGGCTCAATATTTGAATCCAATTTTAACACCACAAACACATTTTTCATACCACAGAATGTTATACCAGTGGTCTTATACAGGTTCTGATATAGATTAAGACCATTCCAAAACTATCATGATCATCATCTAATTTGTCATTCTGCTTTCTGACTCAATAATCTTGAGAACCAAACCACCAAATTATAACACAAACAACTTGGCCATCATGTAATTAAGAATAAATTGGCAGTACAATTTTTTTCTTCTGTAAAAACAATATTTGATTTGAACATTTCTACTTATTTGGGAACATGGGTCATGTTTGTGGAATTTAGAATCTAAATCTTAAATACAGTTCCTTTAAAGCACATTATGAGTAGTTAAACAGTCTGCACAAGTCAAGGTTTTTTGACTAAACTGTCTAAGATCTGATATTATGTCATTAACTCGTGGACCATGGAACTGTGAAGACGGCTGTATATCGTGTATGCTTAATATAAATAGCTAATTCAGGTTTAAATGGTAGGAGGGGGGACAAATTAACAAAAAAATAGAAAAGTTCTCATACCCTTAACTGATCTGAAATAGCAACATGGACTCTGTTATAAATACTTGAATCAAACTGTGACCCAACAACAACATTTAAAATGTGGCTGTTTTACTGAGTAGTCTGGTTCTTGAGTCTTGAGTCATTGTTACTTCCACCTCCTCTTGACAGAAAAGGAAACCTGAGGCTCTAGTGGCAGGAGCAGCAGCGGCCAACAGGTGCGAGGCAGTGGGCGCAACGATCCCAATTTAATCAAAGTCCCAGCACTTTCTCACCTTCCTCTCCTGCGTGTGGCTTTACGTCAGCCTCACTGCTTGTCCCATCTGAGCAGCTTAGGCTCAGTCTGATTAATGGGCACCTCTCTGTCCTCATTAGGGCCCAGTGTATACTCAAACTGTCTGCATTTATTTCACACTATCAGCTCCTCTTCTTCTTGTCTGTCACCTGATATTTATTCTCATTTTTCACATTTATCCCGTTTCCTGCTGCTGTCACAACAGATCCATCAAATATTATCAACACTGTGCAACGTATGGGATTCTCTCTGGCCATTAATGCACTCAAGGAATTTGCAAAGACAACAGTTATTCTGCCTTTTTAGTCACAATTTAAACATTTAATTGCATCGAGGCTTTCTTTTGTGATTGCACTACAAAGTGGATAGCAACAAAACAGGACATGATAAATGAACCCACCAACAGACAAAAGAAATTAAATCTTTTAAATGAACACTGTTGTCATTGTCAATGTCATTGCAGCACTGCAAAAAACAACAAAAGCTTATGGCAGAAGTGATGGATTTATATAGTGCCTTACAAAACACCCAATGTGCTTTACATTGCATAATTCATTCACTCCATATTTGGTGGTGCTAAGCTAGCCACAGCTGCCCTGGGGAAGACTGCCAATCTGCGTCATATGCTCCTCCAACCACCACCAATCACTCACATACCACATTCATACATAATAGGAAAGCTGGGGTATTGCCAAAGGACACAACAAGTGCCACTGCTGTCCCACTACGACACTTGGTATTGCCAGCAGTCTCCGTTCCGTGTACAAACTATGCCCAACCCTGCTTCAGAGATCAGACGAGATCAGGGTACTTTCAAGGTGGTGGGTCCGCATTATGATGTGTCAGCCCAATGCCACAACCCCCCAAAGGCCCATAGATACTTTAATAGATACTCCCAGCTACGTCAGAAAGCTGCAGTGTGAACAGTACTGTATATGCATGAACTTTATCAAAGAGTATTGTTAGAAAGCTGCAATGTAAACAGTACTGTATATGCATGAACTTTATCAAAAGGTATTGTTAGAACATTGGCACTATATTCAAGTATGTTTGCTTATTTTCTTAAGATCAAATTTCTGCCTTTTAGTAGTTATCTGTAAACACTTCCACCAGTTCCCTCCTCCCTCCATTTCCTTTGTGATTGGCCTCTGTTAAGCTTTTGGCTCTGGTCCCACACAGGTGATGTGTTTTTCACTATGTTGTCAAACACTGATAAATTGTGTTTGAAGTGTTTGACTTGAGTCACTTATGACATCACAAAGTCTTATGCCAGCCCAGGCGCAACTCCAGCTTTGAAAGGAACACAAAAAAATACAAAGTTTTATTCAAACTAAATATGATGACTTCTACAAACCTGATAAAAATATGAAATTCATTTTGAGGGGTTTAAAGATTCATTATATTTTTAATTCAACATCAAAAACGCTCATTATCCTTGAAGGAATATCCACAGAGATGAACTAAAGTGATACTGTGCTCTAAGCGGCCTATTCTTTTATAAACATTCAAAGACAAAAAACTGAATGTTTTTATAGGTGCATATCTCTACATCTACTTTTATGTTAATACTTTTGGACCAGGATAAAAGGTCTCATCCAAATGAATAATGATTATGGCCTTTACTTTTTGACATTCTGCATTCAAATGATCCTTCATCTCCATAACGAGTGTCAGATCACCCCATGGTTTGGAGCTCTCAGTTATATTTACATATGAATCAGTGTAAAGGCCTGCATGAGTCGTGCACTGCGCAGCATTTCTATGTGACGGATAATGCCGATTTAAGCATTCTCTCTTCTTTAAGCCTGCCGAATCAGTAAATGAGATCCCCATCGGCCCCACTCATACGCAGGATCAGTCCTCCATCTGAGTCAGTGACTTCTACACCAGAGAGATGTCCCCTGTGCTGTACATCTGCATTTGCATTTCTACACGCACCTGCCACTCTCATTAACGCCCTGTGATTTGTTGTCACGGCACGCTTCAGCGGCAGAATGCTTATGTATGAGCAATGAAAGCCAACACTCTGGTCTCTTAGTGTCTTGCCAAAACAACATCTTACCTCTGAATCATGGGAACCACACATCGCGAGCTCACTCATACGATCAATAGTTTCCCCGAGTTTGTGGACACCTTTTCAACTATTTATACACCGCAATCACTACCAGGACTTTCTAAAAAGAAGGTCTAAGTCCACTTATCAGCTCTGATAAGGCTGTTCTTAGGACCCGACCACTCACTGTTTTTCCTGTTATGTATCATTAACTAAAGCACGCCACCAATAACGTGCACCAAACACTCTGCGTTTAACGTCACAGTCAGGACAGGCTGCAGAGGAGGAGACAGGCCCCCAGGCTTGGACATGATAATGTCTAATCATCCTAAATCTGCTCCAATTATTCAAAGTTAAAGTTAAACTGTCCATGATAATAGTAATGATGATGATGATTTTTCCTGGTGCATGCCACAATCAGCAGTAATATTTTCAAGATCACGATGCCAAATACATACACAAGATACAGTCATTCATGGAAATATTTTGGAGGCATTTTCCAACTGAGAAGCAGTTTAGATTTCACTCATTTTACACAAAAACTATGAGTTGAATAGTCTGCGTGTGTGTATAAATCGATAGTCTTTGAAGATTTGTGTGCACTGTAAATATTGTAAAAGGACGCAGGGTCTGCATATCTTCTTTTAATCGTCTAATTGACCTTTGCTTTGCCAATAGAAATACGGCCAGAGTACAGGCACAAAGCAAGGCGAGTCCTGCATTGTGCATTGAATGTGATAAACCTGTGTCCCTGTGACGGCTTCTCATGCATGTCCCATCGTTCTGTGGTCGCTGACTACACATTAGAGCTGCCACCATTACACCCCATTAACATTACATGGTAGAGTAGATCCCATTAACAGTCCCACACTTTCCCTTTGGCGTTTCAGTGCAGCACCCCAATAAACTCCAGGTAACGTGATGCATTTTACATTTCAATCCCACTACAGCAGCTGGTGCCTGTCTCCGCCACTTTTGTTGAAGCTGGGCTGTCAGGCTATTACATACACATTTCAACATTCACTATTACGTTCAAGGCAAATTGTCATTTTAAACGTAAGCAGTGACATGATTAATGCGCAGGGTGTATACTCAAGCTGGGCAACACATTTGCCCTCAGTGGAGCTTGTACAAAGTATACTTTCAAAACAGCTAATATTTAAAATTCCACACACTGAGATCAAATTAGAAACAAAAGAAAATGTATTACATTCTATTACAGCCAAAAACATACCAGAGAATGTAACACTGTTGTAATTATTAGTCCAACATACTTCTTATTTACTCACAATATGATGAACACAATGTGAGGCTAATTTGCATTTGGACAGGATTCTTTGAAAGTGGACACAGAGATGACCTACATAGTTGATGACATAAACCAACTGGTGAGTGATTGTAAGTGATTCTGGGTCAACCTCTTTATAAACTGTCCTCCAAATAATATTTTGTAAAACCATATGGGTTCAAATATTTTCAAGTTTCAAGTTAACTGTAATTAAAAAATTTAGGTAAGCAATTACTTACCTATTGAATCCCACTGTGGTGTAACTGTGTGACAGGCAGCTGTTAAAATTCAACCCCACATGTTTACATCTTCAGTTGTCTGTGCCAGTCCCGGGTCTGTCAGAGTGAGCCAGACCTGAATGAATCAAGCAGCAAACAGCTCTCAGTCAGTCCATATTTGCTTCAAAGGCAGCAGGTTTTCCTTCTTTTTGTCACAGTCACAAAGAAGTTGTCTGAACAAGTCCCCTGGGTGTTCTGCTATTGTCCAACTTCTCAAGTGTGTCTGAGAATAATCCATTTGACAGTGTGTGCGTCCAGCTCCCGGCTCCCCCACGTTACACTCCTTCAGTGTGCTGCGCTTCCAGGAGCAGCGGCAGAAATGAATTTGAGCTCAGTCTGCTCCTGCCTCCCCCCTCTCTCCCCTCCTCTCAGGTCAACCAGCCTGCGCTCTCAGACCGAGGTGGGAGGTGGAGCCAGTCGTATACATACCTATAAAGTGCAGCAGAGAGAGACAGGATTACCTTTCCCTGTGTAATGTGAATTATGTCTCTATGCACACGGGGCAATTCATTTCTACTATAGTCAGTGTTTGCAACAAAATAAGAGAAATGAGTGGGATACCTCCCTCACAGCCTGATTTACTGCCTGTGTTTTCCTGTGAAGCTTCCCTCTTCTTTGTATGTGTGCGCTCTCTCTCTCTCTCACACACCTTCCATCTTCTTTGTTGCCGGTGGACAAGAGCCGGAGCGTTTCCACCCATACAGGAGTGCCAATTGGCTGAGTCAGCCGGCCTGCCGCATGTCACGCCCCTGATGTACAAACACAAGCAAGGTTCAAGATAAAAAACATACAGCTGTCTTTGACTTTTACAGACACAATTTACACTTGTGACACAGCAATAGAAAACTAGCAACTGCATACAAAGGACAGATTCATAACTCTCACATTTTCATAGTCCAATGTTAAACATATACAAACACATCAACACAAATCTACAGGGAAACTGTTGTAATGGGCTTTTTAATTTATTTTGACAAGAAAACGGTAACTTCCTCTTATATTTTCCACTCAGAGCTGCTGGGAAAAAGTCACTCCTGTTTAGGGCCCCCAGCAGCACACAGCAGCTTTCAGAGAGTGACAGTTCAGTGAAGAAATGATGGTCCCCTGATCCCCGTCAGGACCTCCCTCTCCTGCTACCCAGCCACTGTCCTGCCTGTGAGGAGGGACTATGTGTGCCCTGATGAACACTTCAATCTGATTAGCCTGTTTCCTTTGGGACTCCAGAACATTTTGTCACAAAGCACTGGAATAATTTCACTTTCACAACTGCACATGTCGCCTTGTGAGAAGGACAGAACAGAGTCAATTTAGGTAAAAGAGAAAGGGAACTTTGTTTGAAAATTTTAATCACAATGGAGGAATAACCACAGACAAATCTGACCCTTGTACTTGGGAAAAAAGTAGCAAGTGTTTTATTAGTGATATCTGTCATCAGGTAGAACATCTCATGGCAGGGCACGGACTGTCTCTAGCTTACGAGGAATGCTTTTGAGGCCTTTAAATATCTCTTCTGTGACAGGCTTTTCCTCTGAGATTTGGGACTGGACATTCTCCCACATGTTAGGGCTTATTTCCAGCTCCTATTATTATGCCCCAAATAAGATGGCAGCTGTTTTCCTCAGAGTTAGGGGCACTTGTGGTTGACTCTTCCAGGGACAAACCAGCTCTCAAGAGGTGTCGGCAATCACCAAAGGCATTTTAGATAAAGAGGATATGGATCATCTTTGTGGGGCCTCTTCTGCTTAAAGAGGCAGAGGGAAGAACTAAGCTACATCCAAAAACAGTCTCTCAATCACTTCCTTTTCTCGCGAGCTGCACACACGGAGTTCATAAACAGGGCTTAAAGTCTGTGGTACAAAAAGTCCTATGAGTGATTTGTCTAGAGTGTGATGGTTCGTTTTAGGCCATGCACTGTTCCACACCTGCTTTGGACAACTGAACTCCTGCAAACACGTGTCCATTAGAAAAAAAGTGAGTGCAAAAAAGAGTGCAGAGCTATTAAAGTATGAAAAGTACTGGCTGTAACTAGTAGGTTGAAGAAACACATAAGATAAATACAGTTTTGAGCAGATTTTGGTAGTCCCCATTAATAATAAAAATAAACTTTAAAATAATTGTACTTTTTCTAAATATTGTTACGTTCTATATTGTGATATTTGTTACAAAAGACATGAGAGTAAATTTGCAAACCAGTGTACTCAAGCAAAATACTAGGTGTGTGATGCACTGATCCATGAATTATGCTCACAGTCATAGGAAGAAGAATTTTAGGTTCTATCTTGAGTGAATCCATAATGCACACAGAGAGAACTCACTGAGCTCATAAAATGCATTTTTTATTTCCACCAAGGTCCTATCACTGTCATATTTCCTAAAGCACTCTTCAGAAGATGTTAAAGGCATGAATCACCTCTGTGGACCTGCCACTGAAATCCTTTTTTCCATTTTTAGCTCATAGCATTTGTACAGTTCAGACACTGAGCTGACAGAAGTCGCCAAACTTGATACCACAGAGGCATAATATTATGTAGCTCAGTCATTAGTGGCACTCAGCATTAACCTCCTGCTAACAGTAAAATTGACATCTGCTCCTAGCTTTTGAGACTTAGTAGACTTAGGTATCAGAAGATGACTTGCAGACATGCCTTCAGTGAATTAGAAATCTTCATTCTGCATATAGCAACACAGATAAATTATAGACATTAGCTACAATGTTGTTTATAGTGAAGTACTATGCTGCTAAAAGGTGAAGAAAGATGCATAGCACTTTATAGTGAATCAACTCAGACAAATGTGCTATAGAACACCTCTTCAGTGTAGATAATATGAGGTGAGTTATGGAGCTGGTAATGAGACATCTGGCAGGAGCTGCTGCTGGGATCAGGTTTGTGGCCTTTGAGCACCAGGAGGATCTGAGCTGCCCTATGCCAACTGCCAACAATATGAATCTGTGCCCTGTTTACTTTGTGTTCATTTGAAAAGACTGATTGTCTGTGACATAATGTGTTTATACAATTTCAAAGCATTAAGCTTCAAGTGGTGTGTTCATTCATCTTATCAGGCGAGCTCTGCATATGGTTACAGTATGATAACCATGCACTTTTCATCGTGCTATACAGCGATTATCTCTGCACGCTCTGTCATCTTAACAGCTGCCCAAGGCAGAGATGAATAGGCTGTGCGGCCGACTCTGAGTGTCACTGTAAAGTCGGACGTTAATGGAGGACTGTGAAGATGGATCTCATCTTTTGGGCCAGTCTGACTCCACGGATCACAGAGAGGGATATCAAATGTTTGATAGGAGAAATTAAGTCACAGCAAACAGTGCTGTGCAAAAGTAATGCACAGCACCAGCCAACTCTATATGCTGCTATGTATAATGTGCACGCATAGGGAATAATGAAAGAAACAGATCTACGGATGTAAGCTTATACTCATCATACATACACACACACATAACAAGCCAATCTGGCCAAGACATTCAGAAAATTACATTTTGAATAAAGCTAATTTATGATCATGTTTGTTTGTCTTCAGAGTGAGCTGTCAAAACTAATTAACATCAAACCTGCTTAGTAAATATACAGGTATTGGTGCCTCTGTGTAAATAAGACATTTAAAATTACAGCCTCTTGGCCCAAAGTTTAAGTTATGTTCAGTGAAAAATGGCCCAAAAGAATTTGACTTTTGACACACCCCTGGAGGGAAAATTTATAGGACTTTGAGTCTCCCAGAGTGAGTTTAAGGATGAGAAAGTAGAACAGATCCAATCTAACCACGAAGAGACAAACAAGGGTATTTTACATGTGAGATATTTGTGAGTGTTGCCTCTAACTATTAGGAGGACACTACAGGGCCTGAGAACAGGCCTCCTCTGCAAAGGAGTCTGCTTCACAGATGTACGTCGCACAGCTAAGGATGATCATGATTGCAGAAGAATTCATCTTTTATTCTTGGCTCAGTCTTACAGAACCTCTCACTACTCGATGATAAAAGCCTTCTGTGTGCACTATAAACACTTAAGGGGTTTGCAAAAGTAAGGATAAACAACAAGAACAAAAAGAAGAAAGAAATTGTCGATTTATAAAAGACTAAATATAATGCCAATAAAACCAGCCAGCAGCAACTAAATCTGCGTAAACAAAGGTTTTACCAGTTTTACTGAGCGTGAAGATGAATTCTGGTGTTTATTTGGATATTAAGATGAGAATCACGAGAATCTGTAAGAAAAAATCTAACTTCACCTGGGGCACATTTTCCTGTTCACACTATCAGCACATCCCACTCAGTTCAAAATCTCCTCAGTGCTGAATAAAGAACAGTTAGAAACAGGAAAGACGGGATTGGCCGTAATTCAAGCATAGAAGTTGGATGGAAAGCAGTGGACAGCAAGAATGAGAGATATGCCTTGTGGAAAAGTAAAATAGTACATGAGCATAAAGATTTACAGGGATTAAGAGGAAACAAAGAACTAGAGGTAACATGCTGCAAGTCAATTCAGCGAGAGGAAAACTACCAGAGATGTCACAGCACCTTTGGTTGACAATGTGTGAGTTAGCAGAAAATAGATGCTGACTGGCAGACACCATTACATCAGTCTACCCTAGGGCAGCTGTGGCTACAGTTGTTAGCACAATGGTGAGTGAAAGTGACTTTTGAGTGTTGAGTGGAAATAGTGCCACATATGACTATAATTGGATTTTTTAAATGTGGTAATTCACAGTCCAAATAGTGAGAGTTGTTGTTTCCATACCCAGCTGTCAGCATAACTGTCTGCTTATTATTGCTTGTACACTTCACCCACCTTATCTGAGTATGAAAATGGTGTGTGAGTGAGAGACTGAGAGAGTGATGGTGGCCAAAGACACAAATGACGCAGATTGGCAGCCTCGCTTCAGTCAGTCTGGCAACAGAGCCATCACCTGGAGTGGTGAGGGACGGGCTTGTCAAGCTTGTAAATTATAATACAAATGTGAAGCATTATTACAATTACGGTTACGCTGATCTGTTGAAAAGTGTGTGAATATCCTTCACATAAAGGTATAAATGTTCAGTATAGCCACTCCGAGTACTCTGTGATGAGAGGGCAGCTGCAGTCGAGTGCACACAGCATGTACTAGAGCACAGTCCGGGCATGTTTCCATACACACTGAGTTTGTTTGGAGAAGAGAGAGTGTGAGTGGTGAATATGCAGATGGAGATGCAGATGTGTTGCTCAATAGTACTCACTGTTTTCCAAGAGCTTCAGTAAACTGCTGGTGTCAAGACAGCCACATTTCCCCTTACACAAACCATACAGAGATTCACAGTATAAGGAGACAGCTCCTGACAAAACAAGATGGATAAAGCAGTTTAAAAGGATGCACAGTATGTATTTGAACCAGACACACTTTGGGAAAACAGAATGACATTACATAGGAATTAATGTGTAGTATGTGCAGTTTTATGTAGGGGTTGCAGTGAATTGAATAGCATGTCTGGCATTGTGTAAACAGTCAGGATTGCTGTTCGGGGCAAAATATTATTTTTCAGAGTCAGGTTTATTCTTTTTCCTGTTCACCTTATTGGTTCCCCAGTTCTTATACTTTTTATATGATTAGGGTAACAAGCATCTTGTTATGGGGTTTTTAGAGGGTGAGGAGAGTGTGAGTGTTTATGTTGTAAATTAGGCTTGTAGAGAAGCATAATTGTTAGAGATTTTATATGTATACCCATAGCCAAACTGTGATCTATTGGCTGTATACCATAGACTGTATACCTTTTGAAATATTCTAGATAGTTCTACTCATATTCAAGTCATGTGGGTCTTTAGGTCCTTGTTTCCACTTCAGCACAAGTAGTGTAATAAAGGTGGAATTGCATCGTGCCTAATCAAGGTTACCCTATACAATACAGTAGTCTTTCTCCCAAAGTGTGTCATCCATCTCCCATACAATAGACAATGGACCCACCGGACACCAGGAAGTCACCTCTATTATTTTAATGCTTTTGCCAGCGTAATTAGGAGTATAGCCCGGATTCTTTTTATCACATCTGTGATTATCCGACATAATCCGTTTTTGTTGGAGCCTATAGAAGCTTGAGCCTAATTTGCTTATGAAATACAATGCAAAGCCCAGCTTTATTAGCAACCCCAAATTACAATGTGGGTAAACTTGCAAATGTAGGCCAATAAAGAAAATAAGCTTAATAGCCTAAAATACTGATAAAGAATAGAAGCATTTAGCCCCCTGCGCCCTCCCAACTTGGTGTAGCGCGTGAACCAGTTCCGTTACAATGGAAATACTCACGAGGGGGAGGCACGGCGAGCGCGTGGTCCGCACTGTACCGCAAGCCTAATTAGCCGCTAATAGGGAACACCTGTGTGACGGTGGAGTGATACATCTGATGTGATGACGTCACAGTACGCAAGAGTCACGTTCAAATGTTCTTTATGCAGCTTTCTTTTTAGCCTTTGCTGATTGTTTGGCGGAAACTTTAGCTTATTTGTCTGACTCTGGAGGCTATCCCATAGGCTAAACATGGACCCTCAGGCTGTTGCTGACAAACTCCAGCAATCATTCACTGCCACATACATGCAGTGTAGTAGAGTAGGATTTTTATAGCAGAGAGTGCTGAGGGCTACATACCTTGTTCTATGTATGTAGTATTTATTTATAGAGAATACTGAATGTTTGTTTTAAAACCAGACATTCTTTGAAAACAAAATTTTCAGAGTAGCCTTTATCCAGTTGATATAATATAAGCATCCATGTAATTATTACAATAAGTATTATTTACATATAGTCACAATTTTTTTTCATTTTACTTTTCCAACAACCCAGTTCGCAGGTCAAGTAATATTTGAGCAGGCAGTAATAGCTGGTTTGTGCAGCTTGAGGCAGAATATAATTAAGCTGCCATGTGCGCTGAGCTGTGTACTCCGTACTTGATTGATACTTGAAGGCAAAATGGAGGGAGCTTATGCAGCATGTGGGAGAAATATGGGGGCACTTTATTTCTGCTTTTGGGCCACCTACAAGAGGAGAGTAAATTGGCTTTGTTTCCCTAAATTCCAAACACAGTTTAGAGAAAAGACAGATCAGCTCCAAATGAGCAGCATCTATTTATTTTGACAAATCTTCCCAAATCTTAGAACATCCCTTTTGAAAGCTGCTGGAATGGACAGAGTGAGACACACAGTTACACAAACTTTGTAGTTGAAGAAAAACAGAGAATGGAGAGGTATCAGTCACACTTTTCAAATACAGTTCACGTCAGACATAGTGTCGGGGGCCTGGACAAGAGCAAGCAGTCCAACCATTAAGTCCTCAAAAAAGAAACATGCACGTTAACACCCAAATACAGGCTGGTGGCTGGAGTCAGGGGGAGATGGATGTGGGCCGGCAGTGGCACTCAAAAATGAACACTTGCATACTCATGCAAAGTTAAAGGTGCTATGCTTTCTATCAAAATGACCATTTGTTTACGCCAAGAGGAATGTGGCGCAGTGGAAAAACACTCTTTGCGTGCGTGTATATTTGCATGTATTAAACTTGATGCTGGTTCTAGCTCTGTTTCCAGTCTTTATTGTGAGCTCCTGTCACCCTCTGACGTCACCATGTTAATGATGATTATGATGATGGTGTTTGTTTATCTGCAGAGGTGGAAAAAAGTAGGTCCCACTTGAATGGGTGTAGTGTCGTGGGCAACCCGTGAGGATCAGGGTGCAGGAAGAGCGCGGGACAGGGGGACCGGAGCAGAGGGGAACCGGCTGCAGGGTTGAATGGTGCTCTGTCCAAAGAGAGACCCAGCTGAGAGGGCCTCTTGTTGCTTGTTTACATGTCAATCTCTCTCCTCGTCTGATTGATCGTATCTGTGTCTCCCTGTGACGAGGACCCATGCTGAAATAAAATGCTTTGGCTGGGATACCATTTCAATCTTGTGAAATGCTATAGGGCGGGACAGTGGTTGGTCAGTGCAAGGGGGCACCAGGTTAGGGATCATGTGCTAGAGATATTTGTGGGCTACTGTAATTGTTTTGTAAATATTGGTGCTCAAGCGACATCACAATTAGCCATGTTTATTCTGACAAAATACCAACTAATTGAAACAGTTTTCAGGGCTATTACCTCTGGACGATTAAGGTGACCTTGTTAACAAACTGGATTGACCTATATGCTCCGGTACAATTTAACTGACATTACTTTAAATGCTGGGGTATATTCTAATAATAGCATTTATTATTAGATTTAAATAGAGCTTTAAATTGCCTCATACATTTACTCCAGACTCTACTGTAGTCACAACTGCCCTGGGCTGGACTGAAAGGAGTGGCTGTCAATCTGCACCATTGGCCCCACCAACCACAACCACCTTTTACGCACAAACCAGATTCATACTAGGCAATGAGGGTGAAGAGTCTTGCCTAAAGACACAACAACAGTTTCCATTAGAGCCACTGCTGCCCCACTGTGGCACCTGATATTACCAACAGTCTCTCATTCCAATACTTTCCAGGCCCAGCCCTGCTTAGCTTCCAAGATCTGAAGAGATCAGGCATCCATTAACAAACAAGTATGGCCACCTTGTTGGAATCAGTCCTGCTTAATGTCTCTACAATAATATTTAGAGGGCAGAAAAAACACCATACAATAAAAAACATATTGTAAAATGGTCACATGCAACACAAGAAGCAGAATTATACACAATTATTAAAACTTAATAATAATTACTAATAACATTTTGCAATAAACATATACACTTTTACAACCAATACATTATGTTAAACAAAACTTACTGACTTTATTTAATGTAACAATTACTGGGGTGCTTCATAAAACAAACCAGACTTTATATTACTATATTTCCAGACACAACACCATCATGGGGATGATAATATGACATTTTAAGCACTGTGGATTGACTATGTATTGTAAAACACTTATAATGAATGTAGTCACTCAAATCAAGATATTATCCCAAGCTGACTTGCTTTTAAACTGCTACTATAGAAACCAGGCACAACAGACTCAAAAAGGCCTGCATTTTCATCAACATATTCAATATTCTTTTGTACGAATAAGGAGAAAACAGGAGAGCTACAATGGGAGGTGATAGCAGTGGCACTTGAGATGATTGGCTACTCTGATATGCTATCATGTTTAGTGTCACTGTGTGAGGCCTGTGACATTTCCAGTTGTATTTATTGTTGCTTATGTGCACGCGGGTCACTCCAGGGTATGCCACAGTTCACACAAGGATGGCAATGAACGCAGTATGTGACGCCCTTTAGTCTAAATATTCAGAGACAAACAATGCCAAAAAGATTGAAGATTAGATTGAAGTGTTGTTGAATTGTATTGTGGAGTACAGAACAATTTAGATAATAAAATAAAGGTTAAGGGTTCAATCCTCACTACGACTTTACATGTGTCTGACAGCCATCTCTGTCAGAAACATAAACTGTATAAAGAGGTGGACTAAGGGTTTGGCTCCAGTCATATGGAGCTCATGATGCTAGCAGTTATAGGAGCCAATTTGGGTTCCATATTAGGAATAGGAATTTATTTACAGACAGAATAGAAAAATAAAACTAGAATCAAGTAGAGCAGGTTAATATGAACATTTTAACACCACAATGACAAGGCTTACAGCAGCTGTTATAGAGAGAGGAGACAATTTTCAAATGTAAAGTCAACTGGCAGGTTAGCTCCATTTATATATATGTATATATATATATATATATATATATATATATATATATATATATATATATATATATATATATAATATATATACACACACACACACACACACACATACAGTATATATATATATATATATATATATATATATATATATATATATATATATATATATAGTCTATAAAGTCTAGTCTATAGTCTGCACACACGGAAGTCAACTGTGGTTAGTGTAGTTCCATCAGTTTGTATGGAATGAGTGAATAATTCAACTATAAAGTAACTATAAAGAAAAACAGTAGTATGGTAATAACTTGTTATTATGAGCTATGCTAGCCCTTCTGCCTGTTATCATTATATCATACTTAGCATGTACTTAAGGGCCTGTACTTGATTTTAATTCATCTTGGTTGAGATCAATGCCCTTTGTATTTTGCAGTTCATTATATTTGAAAGGAAAATTTTAATCAAATACAAATGGCATTTTGCAAAGCATTTTGTTGCACAAGTAATAAAAATGTTACCATATGGGGCACCAATTTTCATCCAGATAGTTAACACTCAGTTATGGTACATTATCAAGAAAGGGGGAAAAAAAACTCAAATTGCACAATT